AGTGTTTTTCACAAGTAGCTGAGCTGTTACTGCTGCTGCTGCCTGAGCAGATTTAATTGTGCATCCCCTTCCTTTTGCCTCACAGGACATGCTGAGATTGAAAATCACACACCTGCCTCAACAGGAAAAAAAAACACCATTCTAGGAAACTTTCTCGCTTGTCTTCCCTCCAGGGATCCTTTCGTATATTGTTCTGAACCTGCACTTGCTGCCAGTGTTTGCAGTGACATTTATTAAAGGACTCCTTCAATGCCATTCACCTTTTATCACTGCTGTGGGTTTAATTGAAATGATGTGGCCTTCTTTCTTGCCAGCATCATGTGATTGTTAGACTTGGTGTGCAGATGTTCCCTGTGATGCAAAAAGGAAGGTTTGGATTAAAAACCTGCTTTTCAAATGAAGGCAGGCATAACAAAAAAAAAAAACACCAACAACAGCAGAGAGAAAAAAAAAGAAAAACCCTATTTTTTTTTTTTTGCTATCTATCAGTCTTTGTGAAGCAGGACTGAAAAAAAACAGAAGTAATTTTCATGTTTTATGAATATAGCCTAATGAATATGAGCTCAAGCCCAGGCAGTCAGTGGTCCCTGCAGGTTTCCATGGGCTCTTTGAACCAGCCAGGCTGCAGCCCGGGCAGTGTCATGGCCAACCCACTGGGCCAGCTCTAAAGTGCAAGGGCTCCCTCATGCCGAGCCCCTATAAGCACCTTGGAGAGTCTTGTAAAGACCATGTTGTACTCATATGTATATGAATATATAATATGTATATGAATATATATATATGAATATAATATATATATATGAATATATATAAAAAATATATTATTCATATAGGTTTTGTTTTTTGTTTTTTCTTTTTTTTTTTTTTTTTTTTTTTTTTAATCAGCTTTCAGCTGTGCTATGGCTTGGGACACCCTCTTGTTCTCCTTGCAATGATAGCTGACAGCAGGGCAGCCTAGGGAGGAGGCGGGTGCTAAGAACTGTGGTTTTAATGGGAGCCAATGCCAGGGGAAGTGTTTTTACGGTCCAGCTGTAGGAATTTACAAAGATCCAGCTTTGAGAAGGAGCCTCTATTTTGTCTCAACACCGGATTAATGCAGGCTGCCCGCGCAGCGACTCGCACAGCTCCCAGGCAGAGGCTGCAGGCCCTGGGCCTGGCCCCAAACCATCCCCTGGCACTGCAAAGAGCCAGCACAGAGGACAGGCTCTCACTGTGTTCTCCCATTATATAAGGCCGTATCAGTTTCATGATGGTATTAGGTTCGTTAGAAGAGGCTGTCTGAGCTCAGCGAGGCTACATGCATGAGTAAAGTGACATACTTGCTTAAGTCTCCCTAAGAGCCGTGCCTGGCTCACCTCAGGGCATTCACACTCAGGCTTGATTCACCTGATTCAAAATAATTTTGCAGCTAAAATTATCTGTATCCAGCTTGTAACTCAGCCCTGTGTGTTCAGCTGTGGGTTTGCTTATGGTAGAGTGTCATAAATCCCCCCCAAAAGCATGTTGACAAAAATGCTGACAAATCCATAATGGACAGATAAAGCGGTCACGAGTCTCTCTTTGCTGTGATCAAAGCACTGGAATTTCAAAGGGAAATTCTCTTAGTCAGACCAAGCAGTCTTTGAATATATTAGCTTTAAATCTCCCTAAAAATACTGCCAGCTAATGTCTGCACTGCCCACGTCTAGTTGAAGAGATCACAAGCCATGGTGATACTGATTTACATAAATTGATCTCTTTTTAAAAAAATCTGCTGCTGGACAATCAGGGAAGACTATTCCCACTGAGGGCTTCATTACTAGACCAGGATGAGACAGTCTAACACGAGTATGTAATTTCAGAAAGCTGCCACAGCAGTTGTGCAGGTGATGCGTATTAGCTCTTCCAGCAGAGCTGCTCATCACAGGCCCAACAGTCCCCTCCCATTCCTTGAGCTCGCTGCACGGTGCCCTTGTCAAACCCGTGGTTAAGGCGCCTTTTCCCTTGATCCATTCTGTGCTGCTTTTCTGGAGAGCCCGCATTGGCGCCTCGCCTGTGAGATGCTGGGACCTACCTGCTGTATCTCGCCCTCAGCTGGCACACATGAACAGTCACCAAGATAGGGAAGGGAAGGTAACAAAATGTTTTCAGTTTTGTTAAATTGGGGTATCTCTCAGAAAAAGGATGCAGAAAAAAAGAAGAGCTGCAGATGTCACTGTGGAACAAATACCCCTTGGGGCAATACCTTCGAGCCCCTCGTGCACACACCCGTGGGCTAAATGCGGCCCTGGCACCAGGCATGACCCTCACGGTGTATTTGTCCAAGCGGGGTTTGAAAACACACCATGACGGAAGCACCACCACCTTCCCAGCCCGTCTGTTCCCAGGTTCCTACTTTCCCACTGCTAACCTCAATCTTTCTTGCTATAATTCAAGACACAGAACAAATTACTCCCTTTCCCTTTGCAGAAATACCTTAAATGCTTGAAAATTGCTCCCCCAAGCCTCCTACTTCAAGCTAATGCCAATGCTTTTGGTCTTCCGCCGGTGGTGTTTTTGGTGCCTGTGGCCACTCAGGCTCCAAGGCCTCGCTGCTGTTGCTGGCTCTGGGCGGGAGCAGGACTCCCGGCACTGTGATCATCCTGCAAATTACTTGGTGCTCTCTGAGCTCTGCTCTTGCTAATACTCATCTCTGTTGAGTAGCATGCTTTTAATTAGGGGTAGCAAACCAGGTGATGAGGCCATTTATAGAGAAGAAATCTTCCATACCACCACCACCACCACCAACAAAAAGGCTGCAGTACATTCTCCGACAGCAGACATCAGCTAGTGCAAAGGAAGTGGGCTTAAGGTAACCCGCAGGTTCATACTGTTTCTGAGCAAGTTTTTAGGCAGTTCTTCATACTGAGACATAGAAAACTCTATTGACCACCTGGTAGCAAAACCTTGCTGAGCTTTAGATATGATTGCAAAAGAAATCTCTAGGTAGGAAAACACAATTGCTGTCCAATATCTTTGTTACTCATCTGCCCCTCCTGGGTAAAATTGCTGCTGTTAAACATATAAAAGCCATGTGATTTGCTTGAGGAATTGCAGCTCACTTAGCCACTGCATATTTTAAACTGCAGCTAAGAGTTTGCTTTGAAAAATAACCCTGTCAGTGCTGTGCCACAGGCTCTGCCTCGAGGTGCAAGCTCTCCCTGGGTCCAGTAAAGTTGGGCTAACAGTGAGTCTGACTTTTTGCATGTGCGTGTGAACTTGCAAGAGGGCAAGAGAGCACAAATGATCTCTTGCTGTGCTTGGGCAGTGCCAGCGCAGATGGCTGCAGCAGGAGAGCTCGGCCGCACGGGAGCTGCGTGCGCTGCTCAGCCCTGTGCTGGCAGGGGTGGCCCCGGCTGTGCCCAGGCTGTGGCAAAGGAGGCAAAAGAATCTCTGAGGGAGCAGCCTGTGTTAAACACTCCTCCTCAGCTGGGAGGAACTGAGCCTTCTGCAGCATGCAGAAAATACAGCCCTCAGGCCTGGCCCAGGAAAGAAGCCTTCATGTAGCTTAACATGATGCATTCAGATGTTGGAAAGGGCTTCTGGAAAGGTTATCTGTGATTATTCCTCTATTGCCACTTCAGCAGCAAGAGCTTCGCTGGCCCTGGGCTTCCCCTGGAGAGTTTTGCTCCCTGGAAAAATGCTGTTAATTCTGGAGCAAAACCCCCACAACAAGTAAAGCTGTGTCCACAGCAGTTCATAAATCTGGAACCGGTTCTCATGCTCTGCCTGCTCACAAACCTCAGCATTGTTAAGAGGAAGAAAATATAGTTGAGCCCCTTTCTTCAGGTTATTAACTTGCACACACCACCCACTCGCCCCCACTTGCATGTGCTGTCTGGATTAAATGGATCAGCTACTCCACAGTAAAACTTACAAGTAAAGTACTATACTTCCAACTTCCTTGTCAAATAACATTTCATATCACTTAGAGAGATAAATATAAATGAGACAGTACAGTTGGCATATAGCTGCCACTTCTTAAAATGAGAGTACACTGAATCCACTTCTGTGGGATATATTTTTATTTAGGGTCAAAATCAAACTCAGCTTTAAATCATTTTTCCCTACTATTTACCCAAAATAGAACAGTCTATATATGTAATATAGTTGAATTTTAAATTAGTTAGGTTCCAGGCACAGTGTAAAGAATTGCCATTTTATAAGGTGCTTTCAGATGATATAAATTCATGAGAGCAGGTACAAGTGCATATTGATTTCCTTGGTGGAGAAACAGCTCTATGCTACAGGGCTAGATCACAGAAAACATTGCATACAATACTTTGGCACTTTCTTTTATGCCAACATTTCAGTAGAATTGGATATGTGAAAGTCACTTGGCTTTTAAAAATACCTTAAACTTCCATCTAAAAAGCAAACTTTTCCGTGATTAGTACAACAGTGTTTATTTCAAACTTGGTGTCAGTTTTGCCAGTGTGCATTGCCAGACCCTTCCAAAGTGCTCATTTTACATCATGACAAATGGAGTATCCAAGCAGTTATTTCAGAATGAGCTGGAGAAGAGCAGCAGCACATCAAAGGAATTGCTGGACAGGGCAGGTACTGATGAGAGCTTTCAAACTGTGCTAAGATTTCTGCTTCTACCACCACGGCTTTGGTTAAACTTTTCATTCACAAAGCAAGTCTTTAGTTATATTATTATTTGCTGTGTAGTAATAACCAAAATAATGTACATTTCAATTCAGTGTTGTGGTTGTCTTCAGATACAGAGAGGACTCCAGAGTCTGCACAGCTGAGCCAGAATTGCCTATTAATTAAAGCATCTATGGGTATGATTGCCCATGCGAAAATAAGAATCCACAGCTCCTGCAGAAAGTCAGTAGGATACTTACCATGTAAGAGATTTTGGACTGTGACAATATACACAAACACACTCAGGCAATTCTTTCATTTTGAAAGGAACAGTCTCCTACAACGTGCAAAGTGAGACACGCACTGTGTTCCAGGCAGTACATCTGTTACTCTCACTGGGTTATCTGTCCCATTCCCCACTGTTCGGATCATTGTTTTCCTCTTCTTCAGAATCAGCAGACACTCTCTTAATTCTCTGGATGGCTGCCTTAATGCTTCTCTCCAGGTCATTACTGGATCCTTTACTGATATTTTTCTCAGTATTCACTTTTTTTTGATTCACTTTTCGTAGTTTAACTCCTCGCCTTATGGCGGAGAGGATGTCATCTTTCACAGAGGCGAATGGATCTGGCGGTGCCGCTCTGCGGAGAACACCTTCCCCACGCTTGAGAGAAGCCAAAACCTCATCCATGGATCCTGCAGAGGGAAGTCAGTTGTTATCAGAAGAAAGAACATACAACCCCACATGGAGGTATGAAACTCCATCCAAGTGTTCACGGTTCTTCCTTTCATCTTTGCTGGAGACAGGAAAAGGGAATGAACTGTTCTGGCACAGACTCTTGCAGCTTTTGCAGTGCCAGGTCTGAAACCAAGGAGTTAAAGCTTTTATACCTTATTTTGAGAATCCAGCACCTCTTTAACATTACAACTTGTGCACTAAAGAAGAAATTATACACAAAGGAGGATGCTTCTGTTTCATTATGGCTTTATGTGCTTTCAAAAAAATATTACTGAACCAAAAAACGCCTTTTATTCTATATTAGAAACTACCACTCCTTCTAGCTCTCTCAGTTGCCTGCTGAGACTGTCAATTGCATTTTTGCTCAACGAAGAGAAAAATGAAATTATTTGAGTAGAAAGCCCTGAAACTGCACCACTGAAGTCAGTGGGAGCTAGGTCAGGCCCTAAGCAGGTAGGCAAGCAGATCTTCTCTGTATAGACTTAAAAAAATAATTCAAGTTTTACAACATGATTTAAATATCAGGTATATGTTTCTAGATTTCAGACCATAGAGGACACCATACTAAGGAGCTTCTCCCTGCTCTCTTAGTATACATCACAATTTATGTTTTATTCCTTTTGTTGCCAACTTCAGACACACAGGGAAGACAGCTTCCCTGGACATCAAACCACAGCAACTCCTCCAGTCATGGGTCTAGGCCATCTGTGCCTCACAGCGAGAGGCATTTTTGTCATGGGCAGTGCGGAGCGGGTTATGTGATTAAAAATCAAACAGTGAAAATACAACATTCTTATAAATTCTGTGGTACCTTAAGAAACTGAAAAGCCAGAAAAGGATTGAGGACACATCTGCAAACTAGTCTTTCAAAGCTTTCTAGTAAGCAAGTATTAAGTATATTAATCAAATGTGCTGCTGGTAAGAGACCAATTAAAACAAAGACAAGTTAATACAAAGACAATTAATAAAAGTAGTTCTACTTGGCAAGTATGATGATACTTTAGAGAAAATATTTTTAAACACCGGAATATGAACTTTTTATGACTTTTCAGATGCAAAGGCACAAATAGCTCCTGTGTTACTGGAAACAATCTCTATATGAAGCTATATCAGCAAGCTCTTATGGCAATATTATATTACTATTATAGAAATTAAAAAGTAGTTTTCTTCTTAAACAGAAGTGTAAACAACCAATTGGATCCCTGCAAGTTTTTTTTTTTTTTTTAAATGATTTTCCTTATCCAAACATAACTAAAGGACATCAGGGTTTGCTGTGAATGACAGCAAATATCAGCTATTAGCAGGGCTGTTCTGGCAGCAATCAGACCACCCGCCCTGGTGCACAGCTCCTGTTGCTAATCAAAGCTGCTCATGAGTTGTCTACAGTAGTTACCCCATGGACTGAAGCGAGCAGACTCATCTACTGGCTGCCCAGCAGTTTGTCATGGCAGCCTGACTGCATCTCAGCCCTGCCACTGCTTCTCCTTCACCATCCTTGCAAGCACTGAAGACAAGAACTTTTCTGGCTATTTCTGCCTGTAGTTTGCCTCTCAACTGCAGAGTTGAAGGCTGCTTAGATGTATTATGAAGAGTGTGAAAACGGAAAGGAATGTGCCGCATATAAAGACCTGCTTCATTCTAACATAAGCTCTACTCTGAAAATTGACAATGAAAAATTACTGCCTTCCCACTTAGATCAATCTCGCCAGCATAGTCAGAATATTTGCTTGCTTCAGAGATAAAAATAAGCCTGTTAGCAGGATATAACCAGTGCAGGCTTGGGAAATTGCTGAGCTCTATTCTCATCCAAACCACTGTGTTTCAATTGCAGAGTTCAGCCTTCAGTTACACCTCCATGATCTGGCTAACAAAGCAGAGGTGTAGCAGAGCAGAATTTTTGCCCCAGGAATTCAAGTATACCAAAGCTATCCAACTGCCTTTCAAATCCTGTTTGAATTCTGCATGAACCTTATTTAGAAACTAAGCAAATTCTAGGTGGACACGGACTATGTTCACCTTATAAATGTGCGTTGTCCAAACTGATGGCTCCGTAGTATGTAAACACTAAAAAATAATCTTAATGCAAGCACAAGTATACTCACAGCTATCCTCCTGAGATAATTAAAGCTCACGCAAAATGCCACATTCAGTTCAAAGGTGGCAAAATTGTGGCAAAAATACACCTAGAAGAGGTGGTTTCTCATCACATAATGTGAATAAATCCCAGCTTCTTGGAATCACTTCTGCCACCTGTCTCTCTGCTTAAAGTAGTGGCATTTTTGGTATCATCAGAAATATAATCTCCACAGAACTATCAAAGCTGTGATTAAGAACAGTTTAACTTAAATTATACAGGAATTGCTCTTATGGAGCAAAGTAGGATGCTAGCACAGCAATTTAAACCCAAATATTCTAAAAAATTGACCTGGATGTACAACTCAACAGTGTTTCTGAAAGTGCATTGAGTTACCCACACTAAAAGTCAGAGCCATGTCACATGTATCAAACTGGATACCCAAATCATTGTTACTCATTTAGCATCTTGGCTGGTGGGCAGTGCTATTTTATGTGGTCTTTCAGACCAAGCTTTCTAAGTTTCATTCTCTTCAGCAAGACTTTAAACAATGCTCATGTCCAGAACTAGAGGGAGAATTGAAAAAATGCCTAAAAAACCAAAAAAAAAAAAAAAGGAAAAGAAAAAGAAAGAAAAACACCAGTTGATGTGAGCTTACTTACCTATGCAGTTATTTGTAGACATCCTGAAAGAGTCATCCTGTCTGTGCATTACAGAGACTTCAGCACTAAGGGGAAGTGGCTTATCATCTATTGCTGATGGTGTCTTGAAGTGCAGAGGTAAAGCGGGAGGAGGGGGGGGGGGAGGAGGAGGAGGAGGAGGAGGAAGGGTTAGTGGAGGTACAGGAGATAGAGGAGGAGGTGATGGTGGTGAGGACGGAGAGTCCATCAGCCCCTTACTATGCTTTTGTTGCTTTGAGTCACCAGCAGCCACAAAGATCTGGACAGGAATATCTGCTGAGGTGTTTTGATGAAAATGTAAAACATTGCCGCCTTCTGCTGGCTGTATGCTCAAGGGCTGCTCCAATTCTGGCCTTGCTCTCGTTGAAGCTGGAGGGGACAGTATTGCGGCTTGCTGGGTGATGCTCTGTGGCATCCTGAGACTGAGAGGCTGGGGGGGAGATGTTTTCAGCACAATGTGAGCCGAGCATTTCTGAAAAACAAAGGGGAAGGCAAGAGGTCACTTTGCCGTTGGACTGGCAAAAAAGCATCCCCAAAGAAAAGCTGCAGAGCAAAGACTTGCACCACTCACCCACACAGAAAATTCAATACCGAGCAGAGTTAAAGGAGTATCATGGTATTTCTTTCGAAGTGAATTCTGCACTTCTACTCTTTACAACAGGCTCTATACCTGGAAGCTATTTCCTTAGAGGACCCCTTTCACTCACTGCACACAATCCTATTTTAGGCTACTCAAATGCTGGGCTGTGATTCTGAAACATGCTCACATGGGATCTACGGCTACTTTCCGACTCCCTGTGTTGATACCATGCAGGATTACTGTAACTCCCAATACCTACCTCCCTGAATGCTCGCAGCCTCTCCAGTGTTTTCTTACGTTCTTGGCTTATCCAAGCTTTTTTCTTCTTCTCTTCCTCTTTTTGCTTGTCTCTTTTCTGCAAGGACATTTGTGTTACATACATAAATGAGCACTTGTACATGAAAACAAGCTGCCAGATTCCGCAAGGCTGCTATTCACTACTCACGATCTGTATGCTGTGGTGCTGCTGGAAGTGTTTCTGGCTCTCCTGTGCCTGTTGCAGTCTCTGCCGATGGCTTGCTTCACATTGTTCCTAGTGAAACACCAAAATTCAGGAAATCCTTAGTTAATTCATATTTACCGTGTGTGGCAGTCTGCGCCATTACCTCATGGACAAAAGCCGCTTTAGAATGACCAAAAATGCCTCAGAAGTTGCAGGTGTCAGTATTTTCTCCGAGTCACTTGTCACTGTGCAGAGGGGGATTAGCCACACAGCTGAGTAAGCATTTGCAAATTATCTGTCATGTGGCCTTAATATTATATAACTAATAGACAGCAATTAAGTGCATGAAAATGGAAGCAGAGGAAGTTTCTGCTGAGAAAGCAGTTGTGGCAGACATTAACTGTTCATGAAACACTTCTAATGAGACTCCCATTGTTTCTGGACTAGTGAGGAGTAGAAGGCCAGGCACAATTAGCTTAAACTCTGCTCTAAGGTGAGCAACACTGCACAGGTGTAAGGCAAGCCCAGCTCACTGGGAAAATCCACGAGAATCAACTGTGATTTCATTTGTTTATTCCTAATTTTCTGCTCCAAATGGGAAGCAGAGGAATAAAAAACCGTTCCTTCCACAGAACTGAGAGGCTGGAGAGAATTACAGCAGTTAATTTTTACTTCCTTTCTCATTCAAGGGTAAAGTTAGTATCACAGTGTGTGCTCTTCTGTCACTGCAGTTTCCTTCACTGCAGGCCAGGTTTTCTCCTGTGCTGCAGCTGCTTTGGAGCAGGCTGCCAGGGCAAAGCTCCAGCTGGCCATGGCATGGCTCTCCATGAGGTTTAGGAGATAGAGAAGGCCCCTCGGGGTCACTCAGGTAAGTCTGTGCTCCTTGAATACATGAGAGAGCCATTTGCACCACACAATGAAGTATAAACACAGCTTAAAAAAAAATGCACTGCCCCTCTTTGTTTTGTAGGCAGTGGCACCAAGTTGCGCATGGTCTTGTATGTTCCACCCAAAGCTTCCCTAGTTGCTTTCTGTTCATCCCCACAATTTGTAACACCAGTAAAGAAGCTGCACAGTTGCAGGACTGCATTTACTTTTTTGTTCCTGAGATGGGCTCTCCTCGCACAGACAGTCCCCCTCCTTGTCTCTAACTGCTTGGTCTTCCGCCTCAGCTTCGTCATTTCTGACGAGTTAGCACAGTGTTGTCCCATCGTCTGTTCCATGACCTTGAGCTCCTCAGGATTTTCACATGTGTCATAGTAAACAACTTCATCTTGTTTCTCTAAAAAGGGATTTGGCATTAAAATAATAAAAAAGGTACAATTCTTTAAACATTTAAAGTAGTTACAATATTTTAAAAGCCACTGCAAGCAGTGAGTTAGTTATCAGAAAGTGTAATACTTCAGAGTCTAGCTTAGTCCTTCAGAGTCTTACATACACATATAATGCTACTCCCAAGGATGCTTTGCAGGATCAAATTTAGGCTGTTCACATTTTCTATTATTTAGCTTCTACTTTCAAATGGCTCTCTGTACTGCTTTAACTCTTGCCTTCACTGACTTGAGTTTTCCTGGAAAACTGAAGACTGTTCTCATCAGCACTGCATATTTTATTATCCTACTTGGCAGGTTTAAATTATGCAACAGAAGCAATGCTCGCTACACAGTAATAGAGAAATCATAAAGCACAAATAAGCACAACAGTGCTGCCCAATTTTGTCATAAATATGTTAAGAAGGGACAGTTAAAACTGGAATACATCAGTACTCAAAGTAGCATGTAGCTAAAAATCATCTCTTTTTGTCATTAAGAAAATGTATTTTGCAATTTTTACATATTAAATTACATTACTTTTGTGATGAAAACAAACCTTTCACCTTTCAAAAGCTTCCATGAAGGAAGCTTCAATTTCTGTATGAAGCTAATGTCAGAGCAATAGGCACCTCTAATGTAAAATTATCCCAAAAGCCAAATCAGTGCGTGCACACCTGTATCACAGCTGCTGTCAAGAGTTACCAGTGTAGCCTGTTTTTTTTTCCCCTTTTTTTTTTGCCCCTCCCCCCAACATTTTTGCTTTTTTCCTTCACGATAACCTATGTTATCAAGTCACTTCGAGAAGACAAAATAGCAGCTGCTACCCCAGCAATGTTTTCCAATGAGACTTTCTAGTATCAAAGAGGAAACATAAATATCTATTTCTTAATACAAAAACAGAGATGGCTACATCACTGCTTTGTTTGACATGTGCTTAAATACTTGTTTATTCTGACCTTTAATCTGTCTCCTTAAAGTTTCGAGTTGTACAATAAGAAGCATCTCTTCATGTTTTAATACTTCAAGCTGTACATTATATAATTCCAGTTGGGTTTCATAATACTCCATTTCCAGCTCCTCTGCTACAGGTAGATTCTCTTCTCGTTCATCAAGGTTCTCCATCTTTAAAGGTCCAAAGAGAAAATAAAAACATACATAGCAAAATATGCAGAAGTAGCAGTGCACCCTCAAAGGAAGGATGAGTCATCCTCTCTCCCCCGCCTCTCAGCCCACCTTACTGCAGACTTCACTTTGCTACTCACTGGACTCTGCTCCACCAGTTCAGCTCACCAACCTGCACAAAAGTGGTTTCATTTTCTGCTTGCTGACCACTCAGGGAGAGGCTGACAGGAGCAAGAGCCAGGAAATGGTAAACATTGGGAAAATACAGGCAGAAGCAGGACCTCTCCCTTTTTCTTTGCCAGCAACAAACAATGAGGTGGGCACAACCTGTTTTGTGCATCTTATCCCTTAGCCCCTGCATCAGGCTCTTTTAAGTTTCAGAAAGAGAGAAAGCCATCAGTAAGCTGCTCTCCAAGAGGAAAAACATGAGAGGAAAAAAAAAAAAAAACCCACTTTCTTCTCCATATTCATTACCCGCTTCCAAATGAAAATATAAAACCAATGAGGTGCTGTGAATTAGAAATATACTGACTGGTCATTTAATAATTCCCTGTTCTATTGCAGGGTTAATTTGTGAAAAGCTTCATTCAAAAAGAGGTATGGCCCACTAAGCATGACACAGCACCACAACCATTCTTTAATTAAAGGGATATTTGTACCCTTTGTGATGAAGGTATTACTAATGATGGTCACTGTGCTGAGGCCTTCCAGGAAAGGCTTCATTATTATCTGCACAAATAACCCTGCTCCTAATAACAATTAGGGAGAGCACAGTGCATTAGTGCCAGGTGCTCCTAGCAGCAAGGAGAAATGATCAGAATATCAAGTAAATACCTTTATTTTGCAGTGTTGCCTGAAAATAGTATCTCAGTCTTATCTTCATACAACTAACAGCCTTAAAGGTTAATACCATAAATGCTAACATGACACCTGAACTGTAAAAACACTTATCCTAAGCTTTCCTAAATATCCTCATGTGTGCAGGGGCAATTTTTTTAAAAATGCAAGATACAAATTTTTCTGTAACTTCAAACTGTTGAAAAACAATTACGTCAAGCTTTCTGTTTGCTTGTACAATTAAAAATTGTTTTGTTTTTTTACAAACTGTCAGCACACACTTTTTTTTAAAGCAGTCATCCTTAGTTGAGTCAGCTCTACAATTCAGTGCTAAATATTTTACAGAACGCGTGCACTTTGTTGAAAGACACCTTCTGAGTCCAGCTTCATAGATAAAGATTTTAAAAGTCTCCCCATATCCTTTCAGCGGGTTTTCCCCAGCCCCTCCCAAGCCTGTGGCAGAAACCATGCTTTGCAGGGACCTTACGTTTTTCTCAATATCAGCTTTCTTCTGCTTCAGGCACAACTCCCTTGCCCGCAGATGCTGAAGCGTTTCTTTAGCTAACATGTACTTCAGGTTTTCTAGCCTTGGCAAAGCTGATGCCCAGGTGGCTTGACCAAATCTTTTCTTATCTTGTTCCATCTGCTTGTGCATTGCTGCAGATTAAAACATTAAAACAGTAAGATATGAAAAGTTCGCTATCCTAATAACCCTTGTTCCTACTAAAGCTGCAGTACTAAAAAGGCTAATGCTATTAATCCATTTCTGAAACTTTCGAAATTTTAAGACAGAATTTATGACTTTATAAATGGAAGTCAAATACTTAACTGTACTATGTAAAAGTACATTAACTATTACATAGCAATGTATTAGCCAACATCCTGAAATCCTTAGCACTCTCACAGCAAAGGTTAAAATCATGCATGTTTTTTGTTTAGAGGTTTGCGGACGTAATTCTTAAGCCTTCTTGAGGACATCTGTGTGAAAACCAATGCAAATTATAAAGCAAACTGGTTAAAGATCTAAGTCTAGGTGAATGAAATACTCATTTCTTAAGTTCGACATCCATCCTAACCTCAGTGTTTGCAAAGACAGAACAGCAAAGGTGATAAAAACAGCTTTCTAGCCCTCAAGACAAGCGTGAATCACAACCTTTTGTGTAAACTCACTGGGATTACCTGTCAGAGCCTTTACAGTTTCCTTGAAGTAATTCACAGTGAGCTCCTGAATGGAGCCCACAGCATCCTCTGCCCGCTTAGTCCATTCCTCAGCATCTTTCTGCAAAGCTGCTATTCTTTTGGGCCCCAGCTTATCATACTGTAAAGATTTCTGCAAAGAGACAAAATTCTCAATTATGCTGGCTACACAGCAGCGCAGCCCACATTACACTATCCCAAGAGATGCTGCAGCAAGGCAGCTTCATGGCAAACCTGACCTTCTCTTTCCCAATGTAAGTCATTGCCCAAACCAATGTTCACCCCTTTCTCCAAGTTAATGCAAAACCTGTCAAGACTTTTAATGTTTGCTTTCATTTATTTCTTAAAGTATTTGTAAACCTGCACCTTAAATATTATGTCCATCTGAAATATTTCTAGTTGCTACTGAAAGTAACTCAGACGCACTCTTCTACATGCAATGTTCTCTTCTATTTTTCCCCCATGTGTTGACAGCACACTCCTGGCAGGTCCCCGTTTGGCAGTTCTTTCACACAGGAGCAGAGATACAGAGAAGAAGCATAATATCTTCAAGCCCACAGAAAACTGATAAGACGGTTTGTGGGCATAAGACTTCATATTGATTTTTTTTTCTTTCTTTTAAGAAATATTTTAAATGAGTCTAAACTCCCTTCTGTTATTTATACAGGAAAACAAACAAACAAAAAAGTTATCTAATCTATTCCAGTTTTCACTTAATTTTCAGTATAGATTTAGCCTTTCTGTACCCAAAACTCTCAAGAGTCTTAACTTGCAATTGTTCTGCTGTTCTGCAATATTAACAGCTTGCTATAATTTTAACAAAATAGTTAAGAAAAAAATAAAATAGTGGAAGGCTGTCTTTTCAAGAGGCATCCTAACTCTTCCGCAACTTAAGAGCTTCTGGTTTAAGGTTCACAAACAAGAAAATGAACAAAGCTTGCAAGTGATGTATATAGCTTGTACTTCCAGCAGGCTCAGCAACAAAACTGCCGTGTGTGGTAGGGCCACCTCTGCCTCCCCTATTACCAGGGCTCAGTTAACTGCTCCATCGGCACTGCTGAAGGATGCCATTCCTGTGGGATGGCATTCCCAGAGTCCCAGACTAATCCCACTGTGAATGGCTCATCAGAGGTTACTCAGACCTCTGTAAATTGAGCCTACCAGAGACAAAACCATGGTCATGAGAAGTTTAGGGATTTTTTTTCTTTGTATACTTCCTAGTGGAGGGAGGCAGGACACTGGTGGGAAGCTGGCTAGGCTTACAGATGCAAAACTATTTAAGCCAATACTATGGACTTGATTTCACCAGATCCTCTTGGAGCCAATTTGCTCTAACTCTGAACTTCTCAGCCACATCTGGAGGCTTGGCAGGAAAAGGGAAGTAGGTGAAAGCAGAATTGGGAAGCCTAAAGACAGTGAAATGATTTGGAATTTATATTGCTCCAAGAGCTGCAGATGTTCCACTACATAACCCCGGCCTCCCACCTGTAAGGACAGACTTACCAGGATCTCCAGCTTGCACAGGGTGGCCAATTCACGCATGTCTCTGAATGGCTGCAGTAAAAACTGGTAGAACTGTGTTGCCATGGTAACCAAGTCCTGATAAATTTGGTCTTCTTCTTCATAAACCTTCATCAAAGCCACCATTGTGTCAGCGCTTTTATGCTGCTGCAGAACCTACAAGGATACAGATGGGCCTCGTCTGGCTGCGCTCCGCGTTTGCGCGCGCCGGCTGCGAGGAGCTTTGGTGCGAAGACCCTATCGCGCATCACGAGGAAGAGCCATGACCTCCCGCCACACAGAGAGCCGCTCCGGGCGCTCAGCAACCCGCCCCAGCAGGAAACCCCATTAGTGACGTTCTCCTAAGGGCACTAATTGCCACATACTACATCAGGAGACTGCAAGGGCAATCAAGCCCAGGGCCTTCCACAGCAAACACGCTCACAGCCGCGGCACACAGCTGACCTTTCACCAATACAGCTGGCTCACAGGGGAAGTCTGCACACTGTAAGAACAAGTGAGGCATTCTGAAACTGGCCCCTGGACCGCTTTTACAACTACTAAATGACATGAGTTTCTGGATCCAGAATTTCTGATTTCAAGCATGGAAAAAAATATAGATCAGACTTTCATTTAAAAATAAAAATTCAGGACCAGACTTCAATCCCCCTATATGCCCTGCAGTTAAATTTCCTTAACATTTTTGTAATATTGCATTATGCGTTATTATGTATTAATTTCATAATAGTTTATTCTAATTTCAGTCCCAGAAATATTTCACTTTCTAACCTGTACTACTTCTAGGGAGCAACCATCTATTAAATCCGTACCCTTTTAAAATATTCATTTGCCACTATGATGAAAAATGAATTTGGAAACTTTCCTTCAATTTGTTTACTTAGCATGAATCAAAGCTTCAACGATTTTTCTTTGCCAGCAGGTAAGAGAGGCTACTATGCCAGGACTATGAGCTGAGGAACCACAGGGAAGCTCCTTAAGGGAAAAAGGGGAGGGAATAGAAGGTTTTCAGTACTGTGACAATCAGGAAAAAAAAAAAGATGAACACTTAAGAGACATGAGCCTCGTTATGCTGCAGCTGAAAAGCACCGGCATCCAAAAAAGCGGGTGGCTCCTGCTAGCTGAGCCTGGGTTCAATGGCAAGAGTACCGTTCCCAGCCAGAGCATCCCCTAGGAAGGGCAGTGGAGTCAGTGTGAGGCCACTGCCTGCCCGCCCTCTCCCCGATCCTGGCACGGACGGGACAGGAACCTCCAGGGCTGAACCACAATGTTCCAGGTCAACCCAGGAGCGTGGGGCACCTCAGGCACCAGGGCCCAATGGCAGAAGTGCCACAGTCTGGTCTCTGCACGGGCAGAGTCACCAACCCATTCACACACTTCATGTTTCTCACGCTCTCCACCAGGGCAGGATGTTTATGCTAGGGAGATGGGATGCTCTTGTGAAATTAAGTCTACTCATAAAAAGTCTGTCATAGGCTTTCTGGAAAATCCTTACAGTACACAGTTTGCTATTCTTTTAACAGAACTCCAAGTCACCATCAGCCAGAATGACTCCAACAGTGGTAGTGGCTTTTGGGTTTTTAGGACTGCTATACTTGAACACATACACAAAAAAAAATTTAAACATTTACACATTGCTCCTCTCCTCTATTTTGCACAGTTAACTTTGCACTCTTACAAATGCATCTCCTTTTATGTCTAGTCATCTACCCCAGATGATGATGTATCTGAGGAACAAACGTATTAAATGGGAGTATTTAAGGTTAGTTTGAAGGCAAAAGATACAGGTTTCATTTCTGCCTTTTCTCTGTGAGTCTTGGGTAATCTGGTCCACGCTGCAAATAATGAATTTAAGTCCTTGTGAGGCCTGGAAATACAACTCTACTGTTTAAAGCATCCTTAGGCATAGCTAGTGTAAAGTTAGTATAAGATAATTGCCAAGATAATTGGCCAAGTTACACTTAACCATCAAATCCCAAGCTGCCACATAGGCATTTACTATTCTGTGCTGCTTGCAAAGGAGTACAAGGGCCAGAATGAATTTCTAACAGGACCAAGGATGGTTACAGTCATAGATACTGTAACTTGTATAAACAACACCGGGTATGCAAACTTAAGTCTTTAAAAATTGAGAAGAAATGGAAATCACGTTATGGCTGCTAAGCAGTGAAACAGAAAACACTTGGCTAAAGCCAAAACTGTCTCAAAATCTTGCCAAAGCAGGAACATTTCCATAAAACGTCCTTCAACAAGCTCTTCCAGGGAGAGCAAAAAAGGGTTAGCAGCAACAGCTCTAGCTATCTCAAATCTCTTTAAAAGTCTGACGTTAATGGCCTAATGCACTAGTTACCATCCTTGGAACCAGAGCACTTAGAACAAGGAAAAGTGCCACCTAGAGTAAGCAGGAACTTACACTAAGAAAGACTGAAAGGGCTGGGACCTTAACTATGCATTCATCAGGTCCAAACTATAGACTTTGAAAAAAAAAATCCACATTTTTCTAAGTAGAGATCACCTGTTAGGTACAGGCCTGTGGACTGGCTAGGTTGAGTCAGCCGCCTTGGGCAGAGAGCGTCCCAGTGAGAAGAGAGCGTCACCCAGTGAGAGCATCATCGCGAGGAGGCCACCGAGACCTCCACGTGGCACCTCCGCACCCTCTTCCCCAGCAGCTCTACTGCCAGGTGGACAGTATTTTAGCTAACGCATTTGTGCAGGAGCAGTGAGTGCCCCAACATGTTGTGCTCGCAGCACACAGGGGACTCTCCGCTCCCCGCACAACAGTGGCACCTGCAGAGCCCCGCGCTCCAGGCTCAAGCGCCGCGGTGGTTTCCAACTGGCCGAGGCAGCGTTTGCGAGCACACTGCCCGACGCCGGGCGACACCGCGAGCGGCGCGACGCCCGC